AGCCCTGAAGCGTACGTAGAACCCCCCCCCCGACACGCACTCTTCCCGCCCCCCTTGGAAGATGAAGTGCAGTTTGTGTCAAGCTGGGGGTGGTGTCTTCAGCCCCAGCGGGTGGGGATGGCGGCGTGAGGGCAAACCCGGGCACACTCGATTGGCCCCTGCCCTCCTTCCTGGCCAGCTTTGCCCTCTTGCCGCCCCCAGGCCCACAAGCCCTGATGAACATCATGCAGAACTGGTACTCCTTATTCACACCGGTGGAGGCTGCCACCATCGTGGCGGTGACCGGCACCACGCACGCCACGCTGTCGCGGCTGCAGCTGGACGCAGCCCGGCGGGAGGAGCTCTGGGCCTGTGCGCGCACCCTGGCCTTACAGTGCGCCATGAAAGACCCGCAGAACTGCGCCCTGCCCGCCCTCACCCTGTGTGAGAAGAACCGCGCAGCCTTCGAGGCCGCCTACCAGATCGTGCTGGACGCGGCGGCCGGCGGCTTGGGCCACGCCCACCTCTTCCCGGTGGCACGCTACATGGAGCAGCGCGGCCTGCCGCTGCGGGCCTACAAGCTGGCCACGCTGGCCCTGGCACAGCTCAGCATCGCCTTCAACCAGGACAGCCACCCCGCCGTCAACGATGTGCTCTGGGCCTGCTCGCTCAGCCACTCGCTGGGCCGGCACGAGCTCTCCGCCATCGTCCCCCTCATCATCCGCAGCATCCACTGCGCCCCCATGCTCTCTGACATCCTGCGCCGCTGGACCCTCGCGGCACCTGGCCTGGGGCCCCTGGGGGCCCGCCGCGCCACCAAGCCGCTGGGCGCCGACCGGGCTCCGCTCTGCCAGCTCCTGGACGCCGCGGTGGCCGCCTACATCGCCACCAGCCACTCCCGCCTCACGCACATTAGCCCGCGGCACTATGGCGACTTCATCGAGTTCCTGGGCCAGGCCCGGGAGACCTTCCTGCTGGCGCCTGACGGGCACCTGCAGTTCGCCCAGTTCCTGGAGAACCTCAAACAGACCTACAAGGGCAAGAAGAAGCTCATGCTCTTGGTGCGGGAGCGCTTCGGCTGAGGGGCAGCAGGCCGCGTCGGGGACCCCCTTGGCCCCTGCTTCTGTGGCACCAGCCTCCAACAGGGGCCTCAACACTGGGGGCCCATGTGGCATTTCAGTATTAAGTCAGGGAAGGAGCCCAGCCGGAGCTAGGTGGTCTTACCTGCCATCCCCCCGAGCCCTACCGGAGGGGGGACCACCCCGGGGGGGGGGGAGGGTGATGTCCTGCCACATGCGTGCCTAGGAGTGTGCGAGCGAATGTGCGAGACGCAAGGATCAGAAGCCATACCACCACCCAGAGGCCTGGAAGGGGGTGTGTGCTTGGGCAGCTGGTATGAACCCGCCTTGGGCACCCCAAAAGCAATAGGCAAGCTCTCCCTCCCCAAACTCGCAGGCCTGGCTTGGACTGGGGGTGGGGGTGGGGGCTGCAAGGCAGGACTTCCCAGAAACTGGCTCTTAAAGTCAATGTAGCAGACCCTCCCCACACCCCACTCTGGGTGGCCAGGGGACTTGTGTTAGGGCGTCTAAATCTCCTTTTATACCCTCCCCTCACTGCCTCAGGGGCCCTGTTCCGCAGCCCTATGCCCTTGCCAGGCTGCCCAGCTGGGACCGATGGCTCATCCCCACTGAAGGATTTAAAGAGGCCTCAGGCCTCAGCCACATACCTCACCCCCCCAGTCCGGCCAGGACTCCCATTCCCGAGGATGCCAAGGTCCCAGGGTGGGCTTGAGGGGTCACTCCTGTCCCTCCCCCTACCTGCTAGTCACTGGACATACAACTCAGGAACTGAGCCAGGCTCATGCTGTCCTCCAAACCTGGTGTTGGGGGGAGACAAGCCCAGGAGAGCCAGAGACCCCCCACCCCAGATCTGGAAAGCAGAAAAGTTGGCATCTTGGCATTTTCTCGCTCTGGCTCTGGCTCTGGCTCTGGCTGCCTTTCTCCTCCTCCTCCATGTCCCTGCTCCAGCCCTTCATCTTACTCTCCCTTTCCATACTTCCCTCTATTTTGCCTTTCTATTTGTGGCTCTGAATCGCAGCTGCTGTCTCTCTTGGGTCTCCCTTGCCCCACCTTGGCCCAGGGACGAGGAGGGAGAGTGTCCCACCCCGATCACCCCCTCTGTCTTTTCTCCTCTTGTAATTAAGGACAAAATCATGTCATTTTGTAACTTTTTTTCTATTTATTGAACTGTATATTGTATTTCCTTTTTCCTTTTTTTTTTTTTTTTAATATTGAACACAGCTTTTGAGACCGAGGTATGTCCCCTCCCGCCACCCCAGACCAGGGCTCCCTGATCCCTCCACAGAAAATCTCCAGCCATGCTTGCTCGGGGCACAACTTCAGGCGAGGGATGGAAGGGTGCAGACTGCTGGTTTCACCCAGTGGCTGTAGTGGAGATACTCAGGGCTGACCCCCAAGAGGAGTGCTTTATAACTGTCACCTGTTACAACGCCTGTCCCAACAGCCCTACGAGTCGGGAGGAATATCCTTCCCATTTTACAGAGGAGAAAACTGGGGTTCCGAAGTTTAAGGAAAGGGTACCAATTTTAGGAAGAGACAGAGCTTTACTATGCTGGAGCCAACTAACCCTGGCCACCTCAGGCTTCACGGCCCTTACAGTACTGGCAGTGGCCACTAGGGGGTGCCCTGGCTCCAGACACCGCTACTGGGGGTACTTGTCTCCCAAGTTGCTGAGCACGGGGGCCGTGTCAGGTGCTCGGTGCACCTGGGAGGGGAAGACACACCCCTCCCCACCCACCAAACAAAGATGGGAATCCTGGGCTTGGGCTAGGCCTTGGTGGGCGGGCTCTGGCGTTGGCTAGGACGGGTGGGCGTGGTCGGTGAGGGGCGCGGCCCGGGTGCGGTCCTGGACTCCTACGCCGCGGATGAGGTTTTCGAGGTCCCAAATAGAGGGCGCGGTGTGGCCTGGGGGACTGCGAAGAAGGCCCTCGGTTGCCTTCCTTCCCTGGCTCCCTGAGAAGCAGGACCTCCCTTGGGATCTGCCTGTCTTTGGAGAGTGACAGACGGGTGAACAAAGTGTCTGGGTCACTGTCAGGCCCGGGGCAGGCGAGGACAAGCTTCCCGGAGGGGCGGGGCAGTGGGCGGGGCTGGCCGCTAGAGGGCGCCAAGGTGGCGCGCGCAGTCGTGGGCGGAGTATCGGCTGCGCTGGGCACAGCGATTGGCTCGTGGCGACGCCCTCCGCCAAAGAGGGCCAATTGGACATGGACCCATCTCCCGCCCCGCCTCGCCCCTTCCCGCAGGTATGAGCCGGCGGACTCCAGCTGGCCGGCCTGCTCCTTTGCGCCGCCTGGAGGCCTGCTCGGGTAGAGGTGGCAGTCCCGGCGTGCTTGGCATTTCCTTCACCCTGTAGTCTCAGCTGCCTGCAGACGCCGTCCTCGGACTTGGGCCTCTCCCCCTTACTGTGCCCCTCAGTTCTCAAAGTCATCCAAAAATGTCCCCCTTGGGCCCGGCGATTCCTTCGTGACACATGCCCACTTCAAGCCCAAGTTCCCTGCCGGCATTCTCAGATACCAGCACCCCAAGTCTTCCCTGAGGCCAGAGCTCTCCCTTATGTCTCAGCCACCCCCAAATATCACTAGCTCAGGACCCTCAGGTCCCAGTTATCTCTGAATGCCCAGTGTTTCCCTCAGGGTCACCACTGGCTGCCACCAGAGGTTGGGTTTGACACCCCCTCCATTGGGGCCAGGCACACTCGGGTCAATGTCCTGGGCTTGGGGCATTCCTCATGATGACCCCATCTAGGTCCTTCCCAGAACAGCGCTCTCTGTCATTGCATTAGTCCTGAAAGTCAGGGTTTCCTTCAGGGTCACCCCCTAATCCCAGGACACCCCTCAAGGTCACCCTTCCAGCCTTGTCTGCCTGTGTGACTAAACTGTGGCCTTCCTCAGAACAGGTGGGACAGAGATGAAGATCCTGTGAGGTCAGGAGCTCAGGGTGCAGGAACAGTAAATTCAGGGCCATCAACCCTCCCCACCCAAAAGGCCAAAACTGCAGGGATGGGAGGAAGGAGTAAACCACAAACTCACAAACTATCAGACCTTCAGGAATGAGGCAGGGGGCAGCTTTTATTTTAATTGGACAACAGGAGCCACACACAACACAGACCCCTGCCCCAAGCTTATGTCCACCCCTACCCCAGGTGGGACAGGAATGCTGGGCCAGCTCTGACGCCCTAGGGGGCTGCTGTTTACCCAGTCTCACTCCAAAAAGAGCCCCATCCCATCTGATACCGGACAGTCTCAACTTTTGGACAGCCTGGCACCACCTGAGGACTGAAAAGGCCCGTTTGTGTCCTTTCTGGACTCACAGGGAACTTGCTCCCTGCCCCCTGTGCCAGGAGGGTGTCAGGGCTCCTCCCCCCAAGTTAGGAAGCTGCAGGGCTCAGGGAGAAGGGGCCAGGCCCACTCAGGTCAGGCCAGCCTGGTTCCGGAAGCTGGAGTTGGCATTTAACGGTCTGGGGACCCAAGGCAGCTTCCTCTTGAGTAACTGGCTGCTGGGAAGGTACAGGCCTGGCCCATGCCCCACCAGGCTTAGGAGAGAAAGGCTCCAGGCTGGGAGGGTTGTCGGGGGTTGTGGGGGGTGCAGACACAGCTTTGCCCTTTTTCATGGAGGGGCAACCACCCACCTGCCCGTTCTCCCCAGGAATACAGCCCAGCTCCAGGTAGGACTGTGCAGGGGGAGGCCCTCCCCCAGTACGTTGTTGGGGGAGGGGGCCTGCAGCAGACAGCTGGGTCCACCTACCCCATTCCAGGCTACATCCCTCCCCAAGTCCCTCCTCCAGACACAGGTCTGGGTCTTCCCCCCACCCCCACCCCCCAGGCATCAGCCCACCCAAGGAAGGCAGGTGCCACAGGCTCCGAGGGGGCTCGACTCCTGTTCCTGCTGAACTGAGCCAGTCTGCACAAATCAACTGTGTTTCAGCTCAGTAGGCACGGGAGGCAGAGCCCAGGGAGGCCCCCACAGTGGGACAGGCAGGCACCGCCGCAGAGCCGGAGGAGGTGGGGTCCCGGGGGGCGGAACTTAGCCACTGTGAACACGACTTGGTGTGGACTCTGCTCACAAGCAGCTAAGCCCTGCTCCCCAGGCCGGACGCAGACAGCAGGGGCCTCTGTGCCACCCACCCCCACCCCATCCCCGGGCAGTGTCCTCAGCGGTGGTGGCGGTGGTGGAAGCCCCAGAGGCAGGGCTCAGGGTCGGTTGGAAATCCCTGGCAATGTGATTTGTGACAGGCAGCAAATCCCATCCCCAGGAACCCCAGCCGGCCATGGCACAGGGGTGGGGGGGCACCGGGTGGGGCCAGCAGCTGGCACCTGAGGGGGGAGAGAGAGCAAAGGAGGTAATGAGATTTGAAGATGTCTGTCCTGCAGGTGCCCCTGCCTGCTGCTGCCCACGGAGGGAAGCCCTCCTCCCCGCACGCAGCAGCCACGGAAGAGAATGCTGTACCATCGGGATGCACGCCCACGCCGCAGCCCTGCCCTCAGTCCCAGAGGCAGAGATGCCCAAATCCCTTTGGGCCAAGGAGGCTGCAGGGACTCCCAGAGCCAGGTCCCCCTGCTTTTCCCGCCCCCCCCCCACCAGCGAGCCCTGGGCGGGCTAAATGGGGCCATGAGGAGAGGAAGTCGAGGGGGTGGCGGGCAGGCGGGTGAGGAAGTGATCTCACCCCAGCTGGCGCCACTTCCTAGAAGCCTGAAGGGCAGGAGGAAACCACCAGGGCCTCCCCCCGTGGCCCCGTCTCCTCAGTGGCCAGGCCTCAGCCTGCACCCCAGCAGAGCAGATGCCTGCAGTGGGCGTCCAGCTCTCCCCTTGGGCACACACATCCCCAAGAGCACCAGACCCAGGCTCAAGGTGCAAATCCCCACTCAGCAATTTCCCAAATGCCCTCCAAGCCTCAGTTTCCCCATCTGTTAGACAGAGCCAAGGGCCTCAACTGCATAGCACAGGGAGATTTCACCGAGAGTACGTATGACATTTCAGCAAGTGCCCAGCACCAGGACCGCCTTCCAGAACTTTCGGGAATCAGTGCAAAATGAAATTGTGGGACCCCTTCTTCACAAGTTAAGAATGTCAAGACGCTGACAGCAGAACATTAATCCAGGCTTCAGGTCGTTCTTAAGCAAGGGAGACCCAGTGAGC